CAGGAGCAAGGTAAAAACCATTCAAACCTGAGGAGAGTGCAGTGTGGTAGGAGGAATGGGAGAATAGCATACATAGCATATTTACAGCTAGGTCTAGGGCCATAGAATGCAGGATTCTATTAGAGACCTGGGTGCTTCTCTCAATAGACAGTGAAGAGCACAGGGCTTGGGGCAGTAATGAATGTGGTTGCTTCGTAGCTGCTGTGAAGCTGGTGGTGGAGCTATGTTTGCCTCTTGGTGGTTTTGGTTCCTTATAATTTTCATAGTTACAATAGGAGAGTCAGTGATGCCTTTGAATTTACTAGAGCCCTGCTTACTACTTTCACTTTGAAGTTGGCTTCCTTGCTTGTAAAGTTTGTTAATAAACCTAAGAAATTTGCCTGCTCTGCCTTTTGCTGCCTTAGAGAGTGGAGACACGTGTTTTTCAGCTATTTATATATTTTATTTTTATATATGAGTGTTTGCTTTCATGTATGTATGTACACCTTGTGCATGTCTGGTGCTCTTGGAGGCCAGTAGAGGGTGTCAGAACTGGATTTACAGATAGTTAGGAGCATTAATTTATCCCAACTTAACCTTTTATCATCAGGTGCAGATACAACCTTATATAAAAAATGATAGAAATTAATTTGGACTTCAGATCACCAAGCAGCTTGGTTGACATTGTTTTTAAAAGCAGGTAGCTAGACCACAGAAGGGCAGAGTTCCAGGATGAGGCCCACTGGACTTGGCCCCAGTATTCCCAGAGCCCCTGCCATGGTCAGAAAGCCTCAGCAGTGCTCTTTTGCTGAGGACTTGTCAGGGCCTGTGCTTTTGGGGATGTTTTCTAGTACTTCCCAGCCTGTGACTGTACCCAGTGAAGCCTTCTAAGCATAATAAAATATGTGTACTTTCAACTCTGTGGTTCTGCATCCTTGATAACTAATGACACCACTGACATTGGTGCCCTTCTGCCTGCCAGCACTTCATGGGAAATCTTTTATGAAAACTTCTTAGCTGTGTGGCAGAGCTGTCCTGTCATTATCCCATTTTATGGATGAGGGATTGTCTACAATACTCTAGTAAGTAGTTCAGGAACCTCTAATCTGTGAGTGTCCTAGCTAGGATTTAAACTCTGGTTTCAGTCAGGGGGTCAGAGGTGGTACTCACCATTGCTGTGGCCTGTGCCCAGCACAGAATTTTGAACACACTGGGTATCCTTGTCCACAGTGCACAGCAGGGGCTTAGGAACACCCTAGAGGATACTGAAGTTAGGAGCATTTTCGGCTTTGCTGAGCCAGGAGTTGGGGAGTTGAATGGAGATCTGTACTTAGATACAGGTAATGATGGAGAGAATGAAACTGCTGTATGATATGATTCCATCTTGTCCTGTGAAGTTGTAGGGAGAGTGTGTACATAAAGATTGGCTGGTAGTGAGGCCTTGGGTAGTTTATGTGTTTCTGTAGTCTTCAGCAGTTTTTAGTGTTGTGTGTTTGTTTTGGTTTTTGGTTTTTATTTTTAAAATTTAAAAAAATTTATTATTTTTTTGTTTATGTGTATGAGTGTTATGCCTGCATGTGTGTAAGTGCACCCATGTTGTGCAGTGCCTAAGGAGGACAGAAGAGGGTGTTGGATCCCTTGGAACTGGAATTATGGATGATTGTTAGCCGCCATGTGGGTGCTGGGATTCAAACTAGGGTCTTCTGCAAGAGCAGCCAGTGCTCTTAACCACTGAGCCATCTCTCCAACCCCCTTTTTTTGTTGTTTTTTGAGACAGGGTCTCACTATGTAACTCTGGCTGACATGGAACTCTATGTAGGCTTCAGACTCATAGAGATCTATGTGCCTCTGCCTCCTAAGTGCTAAAACTGAGTAGTTTTTGGTGTTTTAAAATAGTTAACATGTTATTCTTACAGAAGGGGACTATTACCAAAGATAAACTGTGCATGGTGACACACCCTAGGCTACAGTATAATGAGACCTTGTCTCAGAAAATCAAAATAAATAAATTAATTAATTCAGATATGGAAGAAACTGGTGGTGTGTTTCTGATTTTCCAAAATGCCCTGTGAAGTTTTGTGTAAGAGATATGAGTGGTGATACACAATGGAAGCTTGAGAGGCAACAAAGTTTTGTGCTCTCTGAAGAGCAGCTGGGAACTGCTTTTGCCCTTGGTGTACCCTGAATGTACTGTGTGCATCTTAGGAGATTTTGGACTTCATGCCCTTCTGCTGGTGGCACCCTTTTTTGGGAACAATGCAGAACACAGGTCTCTGAGCTGCAGTTCGGTAGGCAGGAAGACCTGGGCCTTTCTTGTTTCTTTCTTTTTTTCACTTTCTCTTATTTCATTTCTCTTTATTTATTTTATTTTATTTTTTTATTTTATTTTTGAGACAGAGTCTCACTAGTAGTCCCAACTGACCTAGAAGAACAGATTGGCCTCAATCTCACAAGTGATCTGCCTCTGCTTCCCAAGTGCTAGGATTAAAGGCATATGCCACCATGTCCAGCCCTTTCTTGTTTCCTTTTTTTTTTTTTCTGTACACTTGTTTTTTTTGGGGGGGGGTGGTCTTTTTGAGACAGGGTCTCCCTGTAGCCCCAGCTGTCCTGGAACTCACTATGTAGACCAGGCTTGCCTTGAACTCACAGAGATCTTCCTGCCTCTGCCTCCCCAGTGCTGGGATTAAAGGCGTGCGCCACCCCGCTCGGCCTCTGTACACTTGTTTCATGCATGGTTCTGTCGATAGATCCCTTTTCCAATGCTCAATGTTGACTCAGTAACATTGAACTCATGGCTAAACAGTGCTAGAACTCAGGCCCAAACACAGCTTATCTAATACATGGTTTCTTCTTCCTTTTTCTTTTGTTTGTTTATTTTGTTCTTTTTTTTAACTTAAAAGATTATTGAGAATTTTACATATGCATATAAGGTGTTTTGATCAAATCCATGCCCACTCCCTCCCCTCCGACTTCTCCCATATCTCCCCATCACTTTTTTCTGGCAACCTCATCTTCTCTTCTCTTTTTCTTTTTCTTCCTTTCTCTCTCTCTCTTTCTTTCCCTCCCTCCCTTCCCCCCTCCCTCCCTTCCCTTCCCTTCCCTTCCTTTCCTTTTGCTTTTAGCTACTCTAACATTCTCCCCTCTGAAACCCTAAAATCTTTTAGGGATTAAATAAAAGCTCCCAAATACTTTTGACATTCTTTTGGCCTTTGGAACAAAGTATGTTGTTAAGAGGTCCAAGGACATTTTGACTTTTGGCTAAGAAACTGGCTACTTTTCTTTGGGGTCTTTTTACACTAACTGCCTAGCCAATTTCTACCTCTTATTCTTATCACACTATCCTCTGAAGAGGTTACCCAACTTGTGGATAGGGAATCAGATGGGGTCTTTTTACTCTTAACTGCCTAGCCAATTCCTACCTCCTATTCTTATCACACCATCCTCTGAAGAGGTTACCCAAATTGCCAATAGGAAATTGGACATAGACCGCTCTGGCTTCTTCCATGCTGAACAGGGACTCAGGGTGAGGCAACTGGGGTACCCCTTCAGTGGGTCTATCTAGAAGACTCCCCCTTGGGTATTTTTAAAGGAAAATTGGGTGATAATTGCCATTACAAACCAGGTAGAGTTTGATGAGTGAATGCATTCATGTTAGCATTACAAGTTCTAGATGGGGAACCAGAAAAAAGTCATAACAGGGCAAATTTCAAATGTTCATATCAGAGTCCATTAGAATTTCTTGACGAGAGCTTCCAAAAGCATCCCTTATTGGTTTCTTCCTCATTTTTCTTTTGTCTGCCAAGACTGGACTCTAGCCTCTCCAACAGCTATCAAAATGCCTTTCTTGTTTCTTAATTGAAGCCAACATCTGCTGGTGCTCAGATCTTATTAGCACAGCAGGTCACTCTGGCTCTGCACCAGCCCCTTCTTAGAATGTGAACTGTTGCCCTTCAGTAGCAGCATCAAAGTGAAGAGATGCCAGACTTTGATCCTAGGGCCTCTTGGCATCCATTTGCATTGGGCACTTTTGCAGAGGGCTCAGGCTCTCAGAGGGGTAGCCCCAAATTCTTCTGTAGGTAACTGCTCCTAACCCTGGGATCAGAGTGAACTGGTAGCCCATCTCCTGGAAGCTCAGGTTGCTTTCCCTTCACAGCATCTCTGTATACACTGCCACAGTGGCATTGAGAAACTTGGGTATCTCAATGCTTATACCACTTTTTGTTTTTTTCTGAGGTGTCTCTAGTCTATAGAGAGAAATGGTGTGGATTTTAACCATTTTAAATCTGAGCTGGGGGGTGTAGCTCAGTATAGTAGAATGCTTGCCTATATACATGAAGCCCAAGGTTGGATCCCCAGTATCACATAAACCGGATGTGGTGGTATATACCTGTAAGTTCAGCATTCATGAAGTAGAGAGAGGAGGAGTAGGAATTTATAAGAGGGGGCTGGAGAGATGGCTCAGCAGTTAAGAGCACTGGCTGCTCTTGCAGAGGACCTGGGTTTGATTCCCAGCACCCATATGGCAACTAACAACCATCCGTAACTCCAGTTCCAGGGGATCCAGCACCCTCTTCTGGCCTCTCTGGGCATTGCATGACATGGGTGCACTTACACACATGCAGGCAAGACACTCATACAAATAAAATAAAAATAAAATTTTTTAAAAATTTAAAATAAGAAAATAAAACATTTTAAGTCTAAAACAACCAAGTGCTTAATTTTTTACTTCACAGGGAGCCTTTTTTCCTCCTCTTCCCCTCCAGCTGTCTCCAACTTGGGTCTCTGTAGCTCTTTATCATGTCAGCTGTCAGACATTAACATTGTGGCTTAGACTCTGGAAGGCTTGGCTGACTCCTGTCCTAAACTTCAGCAGTGCAGCTGTCCTACAGGCTGTCATTTGTGCTCACACATTGGCTCATGATAGCTATTATGGAAGTTCCAATCTAGTGTAGAAATGTTACAGTGATCCCTAATATTATGAAATTATGAAACCAGATAATATGTTTCTTTGGTTTCTACAGCTACTCTGACCTATGACACTCTTCGGTTTGCTGAATTTGAGGATTTCCCTGAGACCTCAGAGCCTGTTTGGATTCTGGGTAGAAAATACAGCATTTTCACAGGTATCAGTCACTTGGCTCCAATAACTTATGCAGAAATTATCTTGAGACAGTAGTCATCTGCTGACTCTCACTTTGTGTTTGTCTTCCTCTTTTAAATAACTAGAGAAGGATGAAATCTTGTCTGATGTGGCATCCAGACTTTGGTTTACGTATAGGAGAAACTTTCCAGCCATTGGTAAGTACCCTACTTTTTCTAAAAGATGTATTTTATTTTTTTAGTATATTTTATTTTTTTATTATTTTTAAATGTTTTATTATTTTTATTTTATGTGTATGAGTGTATTGCCTGCATGTAGGTGAGTGCACCCATGTCGTCCAATGCAGCAGAGGTCAGAAGAGGGCTTTGGATTCCCCTGGAACTGGAGTTAAGGATGGTTTGTAGCTGCCATGTGGGTGCTGGGACTTGAACCCGGGTCCTCTGCAAGAGCAGTCAGCGCTCTTAACCTCTGAGCCATCTCTTCAGCCCCTATATTTTATTTTTTTATGTGTATGAGTGTTTTCGCCTGCATGTAAGTGTACCGCATGCATGCATTGACCATGGAGGCCAGAAGAAGGTGTTTTATTTCCTGACATTGGCGTTACAGACCGTTGTTAGCTACCATATAGATTTGGGGAACCTAGCCCAGGTCCTCTGTAAGAGCACCCACTGTTCTTAGCTACTGAACCGTTTCTCTAGCCCCAAGATTTAATTTTTGTTCTATATGTGTGAGTGTTCTGCCTACAAGTATAAATGTGTACCATGTGCATTCAGTGCCAGTGAGGCTAGAAGAGAGTATCAGATCCCCTGGAACAGGAGTTACAGGCTGTTATTAGCTGACATGTAGGTGTTGGGAACTGAACCCAGGTCCTCTGCAAGAACAGCCAGCTCTTAACTAGCCATTTCTCCAGCCCACCTTTATTTTTTTTTAAATATTTGTGTGTGTTTGCATCTGTGTATGTGTGAGTGCAAGTACGTAATGTGCAGGTTGGAGGACAACCTAGGGTTTTGATCCTCACCTTCCACCTTGATTGAGACAGGGTCTTTTATTTATTGCTGTATAAACCAATCCTGCTGGTCCATAAATTAAACTTCCAGGGATTCTCTTGTTCTCACCTCCCATCTTCCCAAAATAGTGCTGGGATTGTAGAAGTATACTACTGCACTGAGCTTTATGTGGGTTCTGAGGAACTCAGGTCTCCTTAAACTTATGTGGCAAGTGCTTTACCCACTGACCCATCTCCTTAGCCTGAGAACCCCACTTTGTTGCAACCTTTGACAAAATGTATATGCTTCAGGAAGGAGGAAAAGTTTCACTTAATAGTTTTGACATAAGAATGCCAGACACACCAGGCATGGTGGCTCACACCTTTAATCCTAGCACTTAGGAGGCAGAGGCAGGCGGATCTCTATGAGTTTGAGGCCAGCTTGGTCTTCATAGTGAGTTCCAGGTCAGCTGGGGCTACAGGGAGACCCTGTCTCAAAAGGACAAAAAAAAAAAAAAAAAAAATTCTGGATACTTTATTTCATCCTTACAGCAATTCTAGTTAAATTGGCTATGGTCTCACCCTGTAGTGGCAGAACTCTAAACCTAGGACCCTGGTTCTGTAGGGCAGTGATTTTTCTACCTTCATGTTAACTGCTAGTTACTAGGACTTGCAGTCACCTTGTTACTAGAACAGACGCAGGTCATGACTGAGGTTTTGTTGTTTGGTTGTTTGGTTGAGACAGATTGTTGAAACATCTGTTTGTTGTTTTGAGACAAGGTCTCACTGAGTAACACTGGCTGGCCTCTAGTGAACTCTTGAACTGGCTATGTAGACCAGGCAGGCCTGAGCTCACAAAGATTGACCTGCCTCTATCTCCCGAGTGTTGAGATTAAAGATATGGGCTACTACTCCCAGCTGAACCAGATTCTCTTTATGTTTGTCAGTTTTTCTAGTGTGTTTGACACTTCTGTGTGGGGAGATTGAAAGTCTGATTCAAAGAAATTCTTTAGATTGGAGACCAGTTATCGGGCTTATCTTTTACACACCAAGATTGGACATTAGGCTGACATTGCACTCAGAGTGGCCAGTCCACTCTGATGGCCTCCCTCAGATGGCCTTTCATCTGTTCTTCAAAGTGGCCTAGAAGTAAAGCAGGCCTATGGGCCTGAGGTTCTAGGACATTGAAGTATGAGAAATAATATTTCCACCCCCCCATATTCACATTCAGCGATATAATTTGTCAGTTATGGTTCAAGAATAACTAGCTGTTCTTTCCATAAATGTCTAGATCACATCTCTCAGTCTGCTTCTGCATGACCATGGTATACAGTGACTGTCAGGGTGTTGGAGAGGACACCAGACCTAAAGAGAAACCCTTAGTATGTGACAAGTTGTGGACATTCCTGAGGCTGGGTGTTTTCGTTTTGTTCTGTTGCTGTGATAAAATATCCTGACAGAGCTGCTTGGGGGAGAAAGGTTTTATTTTAGCTCACAGTTCCAGGTTCCCCATCATTTTGGGGAAGTCACAGCAGCAGGAGCTTGAGATAGCTGGTCACTTTGCCTTTGTAGTCAAGAAACAGAGAGGAACAAATCAATGTACGCATGCCCATAACCAGCTCACTTTCTCCTTTTTTATGCAGTCTAGGACTCAAACCCAGGGAATGATGCCTCCCACCTTCAAGCTGGGTCTTCCCGCATCCATTAATGTAATTGAGACAACGTCTCCCAGACATACCCACAGACCAACCTAATCTAGACAAGTACTGTTTGAGATTCTCTTCCCGGGTGATGGCAGATCATGTCAAGTTGACAATTCAAACTAACAGTTACACTGGGGATGAGCTGCTGTGGATGAAGCAGTCATCATGGGCCTAAGAATCATGTGTAGCCTGCATATTCCTTGAGTCTTGCAGTGGTGATTTGTAGGGCAAGATTGGTGGCAGGTTGGAGGTGGGGAAAGGCCCTGTCCACTGGCCCCTGAGAGTCTCTTTCTCATGCACAGTGTATAGTCATGCCCCTCACTGCCTCACAGGCTGATCCTCTTTCTTATAGCTGCACAGTGGCATTCCCCTGAACGCCTGCTGAGAACATCCTCCATATGCCTGTCATGTTAAATGTGCTTTTACAGTGCTTGTCAGTCTTCCAAGCCCAGTGAGTGGACATGAGTGGAGAGGCTCAGAACATAGGCTCGAAGATGTAGAGTTGTCACTCCCGTTGCTATAGACCACCCTAGCCATTACTGTCAGCAGCACTAGACATCATGTATGTAGCCTTTGAATTTCTGCCCTTTTGGTAATTGGAAGCTGTTCTCCTAGTTTAACTCCGCATCTTCTGGGGTACTCATTGGAGGTTTTTTCTTAGCCAGTTGTTTCTAGTGCTGCTTGACTAATTTATTTCTCTATTTTGCCCATCTTGAGGGTGATTTCAGATGTTCTACTCCCTGGCAAATGTGGCCCTTGTATTCTAAGTCTTCAGAGTTGTACTTTGCCTGAGATATAGCAGATACTTAAGCAGGGTGGTGTGGGGTAGGGGTGTGTCAGTGCCCATGGTATGGAACTGACTGCATGCCTTTCGTCACTGGACACCTTGCCTCTGTGGGGCCCTCAGATTGTGAGTGCTTCTTCTTTTGTCTACAACAGGGGGAACCGGCCCCACCTCGGACACGGGCTGGGGCTGCATGCTGCGCTGTGGACAGATGATCTTTGCCCAGGCATTGGTATGCCGGCATTTAGGCCGAGGTGAGTTATGGTGCTTCAGGGGAGGTCTATGTGGTAAGAAATGTTTGAAGCACATCATGGGCAAAACATGGGTTAGAATTTAGGTGTTTTGTTTGTTTTTTGAGTAATGGCCCATTGGTTTTTATTGATAAAAACTGATCTTTTTAAATGTTTATTTTTTGTGTGTGTGGTACTGGGGCCTTGAATATATTAGGCAGGCATTCCATTACTGAGCTACATCCTCAGCTCTCTTTTACTTTATATTTTGATTCAGGAGTTCACTGAATTGCCCACGGGCCTTGAACTTGTAATTCTCTTGCTTTAGCCTTTCAGGTAGCTGGGATTACAGGCCTGAACCACTAGGACTGGCAGAAAAGCTGACTTTAAAGAGTGTTGATGTAAATGATTATTTTTTAGAAATTATCTTTAAACTGCTAAAAATTTTCTGCTTTCAAAGTTTATTCTAATGAGATAGTGTGTGTGTTTTTGAAATTCTTGAGAATTTGGCTTTTAATTTTAAAAATGTTGAAAGAAGGTTTTGTATACCATCTGAATTTTGAGCCCTGTGTAAAAGGAAAAGTTGTTACTTGTGTCGTGGTCAAACTAATCTCCTGCATCTTGTTTCCAATAGACTGGAGATGGGCACAACGGAAGAGACAGCCTGATAGCTACTTCAGTGTCCTCAACGCTTTCCTAGACAGGAAGGACAGCTACTACTCCATCCATCAGATAGGTGGGGACTAAGTGTGGGCCAGGCTTGCCTCCATGGAGAAGGCAGACTCCTTGGGGCTCCCCTGGGAGCTCTCCAAGTCTTGTGGAGTTGGAGAATGAGGTCCTAGCTCACTCTGGCCTCTGATCTCTGGGAGATGCTGCGGATGTTCCAGCACTAGCTCATACCCCAAGCCCTACCCTGCCCCTGTCCCTGTACTGCCTTCAGTGAGTGCTATTCCATGCAGTCTGGGGGAACCAGGCCCTGCCTGAAGGTTTGCTGTCCTATTTAGGCCTTTCTGTGAAGTGTTTAACTGATGCGCTAGATGTGACACACTGCGTGTGTGTGTGTGTGTGTGTGTGTGTGTGTGTGTGCGCTATTTGGGGAGCTGTGTCACTAACTTGGGTCTATTTCCTGCAGCGCAAATGGGAGTTGGTGAAGGCAAGTCTATAGGCCAGTGGTACGGGCCGAACACTGTCGCCCAGGTCCTCAAGTACGTAATGAACCCAGCCTTTCTGCTTCTCGGGGTCAGCATGAGTTCTTCTTGGCATTTACCTATTCCTTGAGTCCTCATTGCCACAGAAATAAGGCATTCTGATTCTTTGCTTATGAACTCAGGAGGATCCCCTAGGTGACCATGACCATTGGTCTTTGAGTAGTCAGAGCTCTAGGATGGCCCTGTTCTCTGATTGCCATACAGATCCAAGGGCTTCTAAGAGCTGGAACCATGTTAGTTCTGGTACTATTCCTGCAGCTGCTTGGCCCTCTACCTCTGCAGGCTTGTCAGAGATACCCATACAGATTGAAACCCTTCTCATGTTGTCCAGAATCCACTGGACTTTACTTTACAAGTCCCTACCTATTTCATCCTGTCTTGCCTTACTTGTTCTTAAGAGACATTTGCTCCATTATTTCCTCTGAAATGACTCTTTCTGCAATTTCCAGGGACTTGCTGCTTCTCAGTATGGTTCCTCCATGTCTTTTGACCTGGCTCACTTTTCCCTGTGGCTGTGTACCCCAGTATCACAGTATTTCTGGGGTACTCTGAGCCAGTACCCCACGACTCACGTAGGGCCTCTTCCCTACTAGACTGAAAGCCAGTATCTCCCAAGTCTGTCACTAGCTGTAGTTTCCCCCTTGAAGTCCTGCCTTGTGCAGTTGTTTGTTCTGTGTATCACCTGATATACAGAACAAGTCTATCCCAATACTTGGGGTATCCCCTGACACCTCAATACTTGTTATCTGCAACGGCCATCTCCCTTAGGCTCTTCCTGGACACTTTCTTTTCTCCCATGTTTGATGTCCATCCCTCCCAGGACATGACTGGCTGTGGCTCCTTTGCCTGACTTATTTGTGACTTGCCTGCCCCTGGCCCCTGTGCCTTTAGAGGCCTTGTTCAAGTCCTGTCTCTGGTTTGTGATGTAGTCTGCTAGACTGACACTCCTGCACCGCTACCTTCCACTGCTACTCTGAGCACCCTGGCAAGGTTACTCTCAGTGCTTTGGTCCTGTCCATTGCCTCACTTTATCCCTGTTTCCACCAGGAGGGAGTAGCCCTTGGTGTAGTAATTACCCTCTTCTGGAAATGGCTGCTCAGCCATGCTTTCTCCTGTACTTGGCTTCCTCTGCTTCTGTTGCCAGATTCCTTTGCCCAGCCTCTAAGGGCTGTAAATCTAGGTCCCAGCCTGTGGTTTTCACTAAGTTCTCTATACAAGGACAGCCAGGGTCACATCTTCAAACTCTGGTTGCATCTCCACCTGGCTGCTGATGAGGCATGTTAGCTTTCAAGGCCAGAGCACTTTGTCGACTCTTCCCTGTACCAGCCTGCTTTTCCCACAAGGGATAATGTTAGAGACCTTCAGGTGTCCAGGCCAAAATCTGGACTGATTCTAGACCTTTGTGTGTGTGTGTGTGTGTGTGTGTGTGTGTGTGTGTGTGTGTCTGTCTGTCTGTCTGTCTGTCTGTCTCTCTCTCTCTCTCTCTCTCTTTGTGTGTATGTGTGTGTATGTGTCTTTTTGAGACAGGGTCTCCATGCAGCCCCCAACTCACCTGGAACTCACTGTGTAGATCAGGCTGGCCTCAATCTCACAGAGCTCTACCTGCCTCTGCTGGGATTAAAGGCGTGTACCACCATGCCTGGCTGGACTTCTGTCTCTCACTATTCTTTTTTTAACTTTTTTAAAAAAAAATTTTATGTGTATGAGTGTATTGCCATGTATGTGAGTGTACCCGTGTTGTGCATTGCCTCGGAGGTCAGAAGAGGGCTTCGGATTCCCCTGGAGCTGGAGTTAAGGTGGTTCATGGCCGTCATGTGGGTGCTGGGAATTGAACCTGGGTTCTCTGCAAGAGCAGTCAGTGCTCTTAACCGCTGAGCCAACTCTCCAGCCCCTAAACTTTTTTATTATTTTTTTTGTTTTTTGGTTTTTTTTTTTGTTGTTGTTTGTTTGTTTTTTTGTCTTTTTTGAGACAGGGTCTCCTTGTAGCCCCAGCTGTCCTGGAACTCACTATGTAGACCAGGCTGGCCTCGAACTCACAAAGATCCGCCTGCCTCTGCCTCCCAAGTGCTGGGATTAAAGGCATGCACCACCACGCCCAGCACTTTATTATTTGTATCTTACTGTGTGTATTGCCTGCATGTAGGTAGGTGCACCCATGTCATGCCATGCCCATAGAGGTCATAAGAGAGCACTGGATTCCTTGGAACTGGAGTTACGAATGGTGGTTAGCCACTGTGTGGGTGGTGAGAATTGAACTTGGGTCTTCTGCAAGAGCATTCAGTGCTCTTAACTGCTGAGCCATCTCTCATCTCTCTAGCCCGACTTCTATCTTAATTGAGCATGCCAACCTGAAATATGTCTCAACTCTAACCATTTCCCCGCCCATCCTTTCTCTTCCCTACCCTGGTCCTCATTCTGTCAGATTTCTCTATAAAATGCAGTAGGCCCTGCTGGCCGTGGTGGTACAGTACATGCCTTTAATACCAGCACTTAGGAGGCAGAGGCAGGTGGATCTTTGAGTTCAAAGCCAGCCTGGTCTACATAATAAGTTCCAGGGCAGCTGGGGCTATAGGGAGACCCTGTCTCAAAAAAAGATGCAGTAGCCTTCTCTGTGGTTCTGAACTATTCTGGGCTTCTTTGCTGGTCGCAGCAGTATGACTCACTCTAAAACCCCCCCACCCCCACCCAAATGCACACTGGCATGGCATACTTGTGTTCTTCATACACTCCTACCTTAGGGCTTTTGTATGCCTTCTGACTCCGGCCTGGAAGCTTCCTGTTGGACCCACCTGGGCTGTTCTTTTGCTTCTGCTGCACAGCCTGTGTCTCTCTAGCTGCCCCTTCGCTTCCCCATCCCTGCTTTTGGGTTCTGTGTAGCACATACTACTTGCCCTGCTTGCTTGCTTCTGTCTGCCTGCCTTCCTCAGGATACCCGCTGGGAGTACTGCTTTGACTCTCTTGGGTCTGTGTCCATAGTAATGTGGCTGAGCTTAAGTGGGAGGAAGTGCTAGCTCTTCTGAAGCCTTTCCAAGCTTCTGCTTCAGAGGGGATGTGGCTCTGAATAGCTGTCCAAGTGCCTCCCAGCATTGACCTCTTCTTGTGTCCCTAGACATACTGGGACCTTGTAGCTTAGGGCCTTGGCAACTGTTCCTGTGCTAGGACTGTTCCTTCTTTCCATCTTCTCGATGTTTAGTAGACCTTCTGCCACACCCTTGTGGCATCCAAGATTGTATCCTATACATAGTATGGTTGCAGTCTGCTTTCCTTTCAGAGCCAGAAATCTGTAGCTACATTTCCAGACTGGTGGCCACAGTTTTGCTGCTCATCAGGCTTCTGGGATTGTCAGTTCAGAATGTAGGTGCTAGAGGGGAGGAGCTACTCATGATGAGCTGGACTTGCCTCCAGGTTGTAAGAAACCTGAGCTTGTGTTCAGGTCCTACTGCTATTCCATTCTTTTGTATATGCTTTGTCTCCTAACAGAGGGCAACTGACATTTCCCCAGGTGAACAGTACCCAGCTTTCTTCCTTTCTGTGGTATTGACACAGCCTTGAAACCTCACGATTGTCACTGCAGTGGTGCAGTGCTCATGCTGTGGAAAGCTCATGTTGTGTTCTCTCATTTTCTGTAGGAAACTTGCTGTGTTTGACACATGGAGCTCCTTGGCTGTTCACATAGCAATGGACAACACTGTGGTGATGGAGGAAATCAGTAAGTGGCTCTCAGTTTCAGTTAACAAAAAGAAATTGTGGGTGACAGAATTTTCCCTACTGAACCCAAGAAGGTGCCTCATCTGGAGAGTTGTCTCAAAGCAGCACTGGTACTTCGCAGTAGGTAGAGGGCTGTGTTAAACAGCTGAGGAATTCATTATTTTACTGTGTAGACCAGGCTAATGGAGGAGAGCTAGCTCTCTCCAGTGGCGAGTTACCACTGTTTTTGTCAGTTATAGGCAATGTGTTAAAAGCTGGGTACAGTGGCACAGGACTGTATCCCACCATGAGGATGGTTAAGGTAGGAGGATCACTTGAGTCTATGAATTCAAGGCCAGGGCAGCCTTGACTCAAAGCAAACTCTGTAAATGTATGCTGCTTTTCACGGCATTAATGCACCACAGTGAGGTGTGAGAACAGTTTTTCAGCTATTCCATCTCCAGCAGAGGAGTCACATGGAGAAAGTATTTTACTTTCATGGTTCTGGAAGGAAGGTCTACCAAAGTCCAAGGGAAATCAGACAGCCAAGCTAATGTCTAGGAAGAAAATAAAGATTGGCTTAACAGCCACCCTAAGTGAACTTCTGCTTGAGATGCAACAGACTGTGTTGCTAATGTATTCATAATTGACCCAGCAGCACCTTTTCCCCAAGGACTTCCTCAAAAATATGTTTCGTGGTAGCTCATGCCCTTAATCCCAGCACTTGGGAGGCAGAGGCAGGTGGATCTCTGTGAATTCAAGGCCAGCCTGGTCTACATAGCTAGCTGGGGCTACAGGGAGACTCTGTCTCAAAAAAAAAAAAAGTCTGTTTCATGGGACTGGAGAGATGGCTCAGGGTTAAGAGCATTGGTTGCTCTTGCAGAAGACCCAGGTTTGATTCCCAGCACCCATGTGGTGGCTAACAACCATCCATAACTCCAGTTCCAGGGGATGCAACACCGTCTTCTGGCTTCCACAGGCACTGCACAAAACAGGTGTACTTATATGCATGCAGGCAAAACACTCATACACATAAAAAATTTTTAAAAATCTACTTCAAGTCCAGTGAGGTTAGAGTTCCATCTCTAGGCAGTTGCCTTGTACTACATTTGCTTTAAAAAGTGTAGATTGGGGGCTGGAGAGATGGCTTAGCAGTTAAGAACACCGGCTGCTCTTGCAGAAGACCTGGGTTCAATTCCTAGCACCCATATGGTAGCTAACAACCATCTGTAACTCCAGTTCCAGGGGATCCAGTGCCCCTTCTGACCTCCCTGGGTGTTGCATGACATGGATACACTTACATACATACAGGCAAATTGGGCTGGTGAGATGCCTTGGTGATTAACAGCATTTGCTGCCAAGCCTGATGACCTGAGCCCCATCCCAGGAACCTACATGGTCGAAGGAGAGAACCAACTCTCATATGTTGTCCTATGACCTCCACTTGTGTGCTATGGCACATGTGCATGTGCTTACATGGAGACACACAAATAACTTAAAGAGTAAATTAAGAGACACTGCCCCAGAAGTGCACAGATCTACAATAGGGTGGGTCTTTCACATATGCCTATAATGTGCAGGCCACTTCCTCATTGTGCCACAGCACACCTATCAAGTCATAAGCATGCCTCTCCCCTGTCAGGATGCTGAGCCTCTGTCTCAATTCTTCATCCCCTGGTCATTCTAGGAAGTGTTGTCTGTGTAGTGTTGGAAGGGAGCTAGGGACATGACACTGGGGAAGAGCAGCGGTAATCCTAGAGCTGTAGCCCTTTACCCTAACAAGTTTTCATGATTCTTTTCCTCCTCAGAGTGTATAAACTTGAGACTTTAATGGAAATGCATATCTCTTCATTCTGTCATTTTCATTTTTAAAAAATATTTTTATGTGTATGAGTATATTGCCTGTATGTATGTAAGTGCATCTATGTTGTGCAGTGCCCATGGAGGTCAGAAGAGGATGGCTGATCATCTGGAACTGGAGTTATAGACAGCTGTTAGCTGCCAAGTGGGTGCTGGAAATCGAACCCGGGTCCTCTGCAAGAGCAGCCAGTGCTCTTAACTGCTGACCCATCTCTCCAGCCCATCTCATTTTTTTTAAAGTTATATAAAACTTGGGAAAAATACAAAGAAAAAAATATCACTGATTTTACCACTGAGAAATAAGCCATATTAGCACTTTGGCATGCTTCTTTGCAATGTTCAGGGCTTTTCAAAAATTTATGTAGTCTGGGCATGGTGGTCCATGTCTGTAACCTTACTTAGCATTTGGAAGGTGAAGATAGGAAGATCAGAAGTTCAGGGTTATCCTCAGCTACATATAAGTTCAAAGCCATCTGGGCTACATAAGACCCTATATCAAAAACTAAAAGTGCTATGACTGTAACTCAGTGGTAGACACCTTAGGCTCTACCCTTAATACTGTCACTCATACATCGAACAGAAAAGAAAAACCCAAAACACAAAAATTAACCAAAAACCATATGTAGTATCATAAGTATTTTTCCCTGGTAACAAAACATGTTAATATTTTTAATTTAAATTTTTATTGAATTTTTGTGTATGTCATACAGAAAATCATCTTTATACTCCCTTCCTTTTCCCCCTTTGGGACCCTCCCATAGTCCCCTGGTAACGGGTTTTTAATTTTATTTCCAAATTTGTATTTATTAAAGACTGCGAAATGTATAGAAATGTTCCTAAAGATTTGTTCTGTGTGCGTGCATGTGTGTGTGCACATGCATGTTTGCCCTTGGAAGCCTGAAAAGGGTGTCGGGTCACCTGGAGCTGCAGATGCCCTTGGAAGCCTAAAAAGGGTGTTGGGTCACCTGGAGCTGGACTTACAGGTGGTTCTGAGCAGCCTGACATAGGTGCTGGGAACCAAACTTAGTCCTTTGCAAGAGCAGAAGCACTCAACCACTGAGCCATCTCCAGTCCCCATAGTAGCCTTTTTTTTTGAGTCAGGTCTCACTGTGTAGTCTGGCTATCTGGAGCTTACTATGTAGACCTGACTTGCCTTGAATTCACAAGGATTATATTGCTTCCTGGTTGCTGTGATTAAAGATGACTGGGATTAATGGTGTGTGCCACTACATCAGGCCTCTTTACCTCTGGCCTCCCATAGTAGGTTTAAAAAAAAAGTTATTTATGGGCTGGAGAGATGGCTCAGCGGTTAAGAGCACTGACTGCTCTTGGCAGAGGACCCAGGTTTGATTCCCAGCACCTACAAGGCAGCTATGAACTGTCCTTAATTCCAGTTCCAGGTGAATCTGAAGCTTTCTTCTGACCTCTGCGGCATTGCATGACACTGGTGCACTCACCTGCATGCAGGCCATACACTCATACACATAATAGAATAAAAAAAAAAGTTATTTATTTGTGGGCACACATGTGCTATGGTGTAACATATGCCATGTTGAGGTCAGAGGACAACTTTCAGGAGTCAGTTTTCTCCTTCTACCATGACCTCAGATTTCAGTCATTAGGCTTGCATGGCAAGCTCTTTTACCTGCCAGGTCAACCCTTTACCTTTCAGCCACCCTCGCCTCAACACACACATGTGGTACTGTGGGGGCCATGGTGATCCAGTCTCTTTGGTTTCGGAGTTGTCTGGAGTAGTCCTGTTGGACCATTGAGTCCATGAACCAAGGCCTTATCAGGAGGATGTGGATCAGATAGATCCTGGGTAGCCTGAGCCTGTATCTTTAACAGCTCCTGGTGGGTGCTAGAGGCTGCTTGACCATAACTATGACCAGGGCTAAGTGAGAAGTGATGTGCTCATGACAAGGATAAGGGTAACATTGCTGATACTGAATTTAGGAAACGTGGTGAAAGACAAGCTGGTAGACAGGCTTCAGTTCATGATGAGATAGGGGTACATGGACAGTTCTCAGTTTTGCCAGCTGCCTTTGGCTTTTGATGGCTTCAGTGAAGGCAGGAAGAATGTTGGCAAGATGACTCAGTGAATAAAGGAACTTACTGCTAAACCTGACAACCTGAGTTTGATCACTGAAATTCATATAATAGAAGGAAACAGCCAACTCCCCAAGTTGTCCTCTGACCTCCACACTCGTGGTGTAGCACATGGGTGCTGTGGTATATATGTGCACACACAGATAAAAGTAATTAAATTTTTTTTTTAATGGAGAAATCAAGCTGCGTCTTTACCCCACTGCTGAAAGTTGCCCAAGGTAGCCTGCTTTTAGAGATGGCAGCAGAGCAAAGCTAGAGGACAGTGCAGTGGCCAGCAGTAGTTTCTTTCCTTCTAATGTCTTGGAGCTGCCTGTGGATGGATCAGTTAGCGAACACTAACCGCTACTAAAACCACCTTCCTCCTGAGAGAGCTGGACAATGGCAGTCCCACTCAGATTTTTGAGAAAGTATACTAGGAGAGGGAAGCCTTGCTGGTTGAAATGTCACCACTACCCTCCTGCCTGTCCTTCCATCCACCTCTGTTGAAGGCTAGTTAAGAGTCCTACCCAGTAGGCTCTGTCAGTCTTTAGTATTGATATATTCATGTGAGTTTTAATATTTTAAGATATTTATTTAATTTTATGAGTATATTGCCTGCATGTGTATAAGTGCACTGGTGTCATGCAATGCTCAGGGAGGTCAGAAGGAGGTGCTGAATTCCTCTGGAACTGGAGTTATGGACTGTTGTTAGCTGCCATGTGGGTTCTGGGAACTAAACCCGGGTCCTCTATAAGAGCAGTCAGTGCTCTTAACCACTGAGTCATCTCTTCAGCCCTTGAATTTTTTTTTTTTTTTTTTTTTTTAAGACAGGCTCTTACTTTGTAGCCCAAGCTGGCTTTGAACTCTGAGTAATCCTTCTGCTTCAGCTTCTCTAGTGCTAGGATTACAAATGTGAGACACAATGCCCAGCAATACGTTGATGGATTTAGACCTTCATAACTGTAGCAGTTGGTCAGCAGTCCCTAGATAAAGGAAAATTTGCAGATTAGAAAAGACCAGTTAGCAAGTACAAATGACCCCAAAGAAGGGAAATTAAATACCAGTATAAGAATA